CTCTAAGAAGTTCGTGAAGGGAATAAACTCTTCATGCACGTAGCGGAAGCATTGGGAACCGTTTTGATTTTTATTATGAATTAAAAGAAAAGCAATAAATACGATAGTAAAAACTCTACCTTTGTAGAAACCCTAGCTTGCAAGACTTCTTGAAGTATTTCAACCATGCAAACGTTCTTCATATTCCACAAGTTCTTCCTTGCTATGACTTGAATACAAGTTCAAGGCTTATGGGAGCCTTTGAAACAGATTGGAGAAGAAGAGTTTCGAGAATTCTCTAGAGATAGTAATTTCATTTTCCAATGAAAATGGGAGAGATTCGAGTGTTTTGGCTCAACTTGAGAGTCTTATCTCTAAAATTTCTCTCACTATGATTGTCCTGATTAATTAGAAACTATTTCCTTTAGTCATAAGATTTTTCTTCAATTTTGTAATACTTAATTTGGAGATCATTTAGATAACTATCTAAATTTAGCTTTTATTGACTTAAACATCTCATATGTTTTTTTTTTTTTTTTCATTTTCTTATCTTTTATTCATGTCAACTAGAAGATACAAAGAAATCTTTATCATCACTTTTGATTCATCAATCACGTGTTTTCGAAAAATTTGATCCACATTGACAATAGGTCTTAGAGAACATTTCTCAACCGAGTATTAAAATTTTTTCAATCTGACTTATCCATAGTGAAAGTTAAACAATTGAAAGAACTTCAAACATAATATTTGAAATAAATAAAATATTATTTAATACCAACAATCAAGTATTCATTCAATTTCAATATAAGAACAAACAATTTTATAAAATGAAAACCCTATAAATCATTTATAATGCTATGGTATTTAGTGATTTAGAACAAGTGCTGTCGTAGGATAGATCAAGTGTTCCTTCACTAAACCGAGACAATCTCAACCAAACATTATACAAGAACAACTCTTATTCCTATAATATTTAGTTACAATTAGTTCGGTTAAGAACATCATTAACAACCTTTATGACCTTTTCGTAAATGTAACTCATCATTTTAGATCTTGTAATTTTATCCCAACAAGTGTCGTCGTAGGGTAGGTAAAGTATTGGAAATAAAATTATTATCTTATCCTTCTCAAGAGTTCACCCTGATATTGACCCATGCAAACACTTTCTGTAGGGGGACGGTCCAAAAGCCGCCATGAGGCCTTGCATGAATCTCACGTTATGAACCAATGATAGAGACCATAGGATATGTTGACACATTTCCTTCTCTCATTTACTATAAATACTTTCTCAAGATATTCATATTGATATTGTCACATGCAAACACATTCCCTAAGGGGGACGGTCCAAAAGTCGCCACGAGACTCCGCATGAATCTCACAGTGTGAATCAATAATAGAGAACGTAAGATATCTTGACATGTGTCCTTAATATCTTGATATCTTGAAAGACGTCCCCCAAGTCAGTTCCGTAGTAGAGGTGTTCCATTTCAGTCACCTTAAATACCTCAGCCTAGTCAAAACCTTCCTTAGACAAAGTGTTCCCTTATAGTCAATTTTTATTTGAAATTCATTAATCTTTAATTAACTATTAATTACTAGATTAATGAACATAAGTGAATTAAATTATCTTTAATCCTATTATAAACTAATTCACTATCTTAAAATTCTAAAATCAAATTTAATAGACAAGTGTATCTGAAATATTTTTTAATTGAAAATAAATTAAATTACAATAATTTAAATCGAAGTATTTAAACAATTCCAAATTTAATAAAATTAAATTTTAAGATTTTTTTCAAAGGTAGATTGGTGTGTTTTGGCTCAACTAGAGTCCTCTTTATAGGATTTGTATCGGGTATTATATCCTAATATATTAAATATACAAATATATTATTTGACAAAGATTCTCCAAGAGTCTCTATAAATATGACCCTCATTGAGCCAAAACACACAAATCTCTCTCACTCTCTCTAGAAAATGAAATTACATTTACAAAGAATTCTCGAAACTATTCTTCTCCAATCCCTTTGAGATTTTCTTTAAAGGCTCCCACAAGCCTTGGCCTTGTGTTCGAGTCATAGCAAGGAAAAACTTGTAGAATATGATGAACGTTTTCATGGATTGAATACTTCAAGAAGTTTTACAAGTTAGGGTTTGTACAAAGGTAGAGTTTTTACTCTCGTATTTATTGTTTTTTTCTCAATTCATAATAAAAATCAAAACGGTTACTAATGCTTCTACTACGTGGATGAAAAGTTCATTCTCTTCCATTGGTATAAGAGCCTATTGATTTTTTATTTTGAATTAAAAGTAGTATGGTGGGTATTGTATTTCAAATCATATATGTGATTATATGTAATATTGATTTGCGAAATTGATTTGTGAAATCAATATTATGAATTAAAAGAAAAGCAATGAATACGAGAGTAAAAACTCTATCTTTGTAGAAACTCTAGCTTACAAGACTTTTAAAAGTATTCCAACCATGTAAACGTTCATCATATTCCACAAGTTCTTATTTTCAATGACTCGAATACAAGGTCAAGGTTTGTGGGAGCCTTTGAAAAAAAATCACAAATAGATTAGAGAATGAGAATTTCGAGAATTCTATGGAGATAGAGAGATTAGTGTATTTTGGCTCAACCCAGAAGTCCTATTTATAAAGACTCTTGAGTAATCTTTGTCAAATAATATATTTGTATACTTAATATATCTAATATATTTTCTCCATTTATATTTAACATATATAATATATAATATATTAAATATTAATTTTAACTCTCAAATTAAATATATTTTTTCTATTTACTTAATATATTTAATATATTAAATATTAATTTGACATTTTAAATTAAATTTATTTTCTCTTATATATTTAATATATCTATATATTAAATACCAATTTTGAACCTTTCAAATTTTCTTTCAAATAAATTGAACATTTTAGCGTTACTCTAAGCTACAAGAGGACATTATGGACCTACAGATTATAAGCTTCATTGATATAAAATTAATTAATTAAACTCTCTAATTAATCAATTTTCATTCATTAACTATGTGTCACTCCACTATAGACCTAGAGTTGCACTGTAGAACAAGTTATGTCCATTGATATAACCATTACAAGCAAGTCGATCCTTCACGAGTGATTCATAATTACAGCGGGGTCAAAAGTCTGTTTCACCCCTGTAATTACATCTTTCACCATAAGTATCACTGATTCTCTAATGAACAATTTGTTTATGATACAATCATAAACCAAGTCTCTCTCGGGCCAATGAGAGGTTGGGACTCATTGTTCAAGTCCCGAAATCAATACTTAAAATAATAACTCATCTACTTTACTTATATGGAAAAGAGTGAATTCCTTCTCATGATATTATGTTCCCAACTCCCTATATTTGGTGAAGTCCCCAAAATAGTAGGCATATTGAATGGGCTAAAAGAGTTATTCTCACCCATGTAAATTAAAGGACAATCTGTCACAGTCAGAAGTTCATAACTCACTCAAGATTATCTAGTCGCATATGATTATCATGTGAAATATTAATCTTCTTAATTAACGGATTTATAAAGAGAGGTTAAATATTTATTGGTCCAGTATTATACAAACTCATTGTATAGGATACCCCTACTTACATGTCTCCACATGAATGATTTGGATCAAATCATTTGTAGCGATTACAAAGTGGGTTGTATCAATAGTGTTACCAAGATAAGACACCAAACCTTATCCATATACTAAGACTTTTATGTTATTACTTTGAACACAATCCTCTTGTAGGTCAACCACATACTTCTAGATTAGATTAATAATCTTGGATTTTCATACCATGAATAATAATTAAATTACAAATAAAATTATTGTTAAAAACTAAATAATTACTTACGAGGCTTTAGAGCATAATCCCAACAATCTCCCCACTTGCACTAAAGCTGAAGAGACATGTGTCCTAGGGTACTCTATACCCAACATGTTCTCCACTCGCCCTAGAAAATATGAGACATGTCTCGTAATCCTAGACAATCTAGGTGACTTTCAAACACTTTAGCCTAAAGAGCCATTTTATATAAATCAAAATAATTATCATTAAAAGTCATCTTGTCTAGGACGATGCTTTCTCTCAATATCATTCTTTATAGATTGAACTTTTATAATTTCCTTAACTCCATATACGAAATATAAATTCTCATTATCCATGGGTAGTCGGAGAAAACTTTAATTTTTCACTTAATGGTCATACCATTAGTTTAACTAGCCGTATATTTTAAGTTAATTCTCATCTGCCCATTAATTGTCTCTCACTCAGCAAAGATAATTAATGGTAATGTGAACATATTTGAGGTTAATTAGGATACTATTCATGTGACTTGCGTATTTCAATGATCATTATCATTCTTTGAAGTCTTGCATCAAATATTTGACCACAATTTTGTCAGTATAATATATATGAGACAATATTAACGTTTATCCTTAAATCTATATTTTTAGCGCATACAAAATTATCCCTAACCTAAGTTAATTTGAGTTGGGTAAAGAAATAGAAAATAATCGAAAACTTGTTTGGAAATCTAGAAATTTTGACGAAAGTGTAGAATGCATAGGTGACAGCACGTGATGACCCATTCAACCTCTGTTTCTCTATTTTTCATCTTGATTTCGATACTAACCCTAACTCCGGTTGAATAAGACACGTGTCATCTAAGTAAGTAACCACGTAAACTTTAGAAAATTTTCAGAAAATTTGGAGCTTCTAACACGCCGAAAAGCTAACTTGGGAAGACACGTGTCATCTGGTCTTTAGGCAAGTAATACTAGTAGAGGTTGCTAGGACGAGCTAGGGTATGAGCATTCTTTACCTTTTGTGGTTAGAAAATGTATGTTAAGGACTTTGGAAGGACGTCTTTGAAGGAGTGTGTACTCTATGTATGTTACGGGGTAAAATTATCGTTTTTCCTCTAGGTTGATTGGGACGTCCCACATCGATTCATGTTTAAAAAAAACTCATAAATAACCATAAGTGACATTAATATAGAAGACAAAGATGATTTTTGAAGTATAGATAAACTGTTTCTTCGGCTCACGTACTTTATTTATTCATATTAATAATATTATTAAACGCATGGCCTTAAATACCCTCCATGACCATGACCTTCTCCGCCAGTTCCTGCACCAACTTCCACGTCGAGACGACATGTCGTTCCTTCGTCATCATCCCACCGATGGTAATTCGAATCACAAACACTCCTTTAACCACCGTATGAATCATAAACGCTTTACCCGACTTATTAATCTCCTCCAGCAATCTCGCATTCATCACATTCGACATGTCGACATCCCAAAACGACAATCGGAAACAAACCATCCCGAAATTCCTCGGAGCAACCAGCTCGAACCGTTGATCTCTCTTCACCATCTCCTCAAAAAGCTTCGCCATTTCCACATGATGTCTAATAAAACTCCTCAAATTCTCCTGTCCATAGCTTTTCATCACAACCCATAATTTAATTGCATGAAACCGGCGGCTAAGCGTGATTTGCCAGTCTTTAAAATCCACCACTTCGCCGGAATCCGTGGCGGCGTTTCTCAAATACGGTGGGTTTGTTGAGAGAGAGTTCTTTAACGCCGATGGATCTTTTAGCCATAGACAGCAACAATCCGGCGCTGAGAAGAATTGTTTGTGGGTGTTTAAGCTGATGGAGTTTACGTTCTCGACGCCGTTGAGGAAGTGGCGGAGCTCTGGACAAATGCAGGCGCTTCCGGCGTATGCGGCGTCGACGTGAACCCAGATTTTGTGTGGTTGAGCTACGGCGGTAAGTGGACCTAGTGGGTCGACGGCATTGGTGGAAGTGGTTCCGATTGTTGCACAAAGGTAAAATGGGATGAACCCATTTTCGATGTCGGATTGGATTGCGATTCTTAGAGAGTTTGGAGATAGCGCATATAGCTCGGATTTTGTTGTTTCAATTACTCGCAAGTTTTCATCTCCAAAACCTAAGTAAAAAATGTTCGAGGATTATTGACACGGAGTTCAATATGCCTAATTAAGGAGATGATTACGAGTTTATAAGTAAGAAATACATCTACATTGTTATAATGCTCTTAGTGGACAATATCATAACATTTTGAAATCTCGGTATCAGAATCATGCCCTTAACTTAGTCATACTAATAGAATCCTCAAATGCCAAACAAAGAAGTTGTTAGTTTCGAAGGTGTAGTCAAAAAGTGACTTAATTGTTAAATAAATGGTGTAATTTGTTCAAAGGCTCTAGAGAAAAGAATCAAGCCTCCATTAAGAGGAGTTAGTACTTTGTTGAGGGGAGGAGGATTGTTGAGGATTGTTGGGAGGGATTAACACATTGGCTAATTAAGGAGATAATAATGGGTTTATAAGTAAAAAATACATCTCCAGTGTTACGAGGTCTTTTGGGAAAACCAAAGCAAAATCATGAGACTTTATGTTCAAATTGGACAATATCATACCATTGTGAAGAGTAGTGGTTCCTAACATAGTATCAAAATCATACCCTTAACTTAGCCATACTGATAGAATTCTCAAATGTCGAACAAAGAAGTTGCTAATCTCAAAGATGTAGTCAAAAAATGACTTAAGTATTGAACTAATGGTGTAATTTGTTCGAGGGCTCTAGAGAATGAAGTCGAGCCTTGATTAAGAGGAGACTCTATGATGTACTTTGTTCAAGGAGAGGAAGATTGTTGAGGATTGGTATGAGGTCTTTTGGAGAAACCAAAAGAAAAACCATGAGAGTTTATGCTCAAAGTAGACAATATCATATCATGAGAGTCGTGATTCCTAACATGGTACCAAAACCATGCTCTTAACTTAGTCATACTAATAGAATTCTCAAATGTCGAACAAAAAAGTTGCTAGCTTCGAAAGTTTAATAAAAAGGTGACTCAAGTGTCAAACAAATGGTGTAATTTGTTCGAGGGCTGTAGAGAAACAAGTCGAGTCTTGATTAAGAGGAGACTCTATTGTGTACTTTGCTCGAGAGGAAGATTGTTGAGGATTGCATCTCTATTGGTACGAAGTTTTTTAGGAAAATAAAAAACAAAACCATAAGAATTTATACTCAAAATGAACAATATCATACTATTGTGGAGAGTCGTGATTCCTAACTATGTTGTATTAATGATCTACTAACCTGCAACATGAGCGGCCTTTTTCAGGCACATGTGAGTTTGATCGGACGCATAAACAACGAGCTTACTAAATTTATCTCTTCCAATCTCTCTAAGCTTCTGGTCCCTCGCCCCCACCAAAGTGCACAAAATAGCTTCACAAGTAGTTCCCTGAAGAACGCCGCCGCCACTGCCGGAGAAGAGGAAAGATTTGGGAAGCTTTAACATCTCACCAAGCCAATCAACAACCAACATTTCAAGTTCCGTCACCGCCGGCGACGACAGCCAATTAAAACCATTAACATTAAAGCCAGAGCTAAGCATTTCTCCAAGAAAAGCCGCAGTGCTTTTACTAGCAGAAAAGTAAGCATAAAAATTAGGGTGTTGCCAGTGAGTGATACCCGGAACCACAAATCGGGTGACATCTTGAAGAATCTGCTCCAAAGATTCCGGAACATTTGGAGCTGATTCTTCTGGAATGTTTTTTCGGAGATAACCAGGATAAACTTGGCTAAGAACTGGATATTGTTCGATGTTTTTGTAATAATCTGCTATGAAATCCACAACTTTGTGTGCTTGAGTTCTGAATTCTTCTGGATCTATCGGGTCGATGACATGATTGTCGTTCTCGTGTTCGATGCTACCCATTTGAAAATGTTTTTTTGTTGTTGATGCCCATCTTCCTCAAATGCTCCACCTTTTATAGAGCGGAAATTATTTAATAAAACCAATAGGATATGACTCTTCTAATAACCATCCGATACAAAATCGAATACTTTATTCAATCACAATAATAGAGATCTCTTAAATATATCCATGTTCACTGTTAGTCGATGTTATCCTCTTTGTGTTTTCCTTTTCAGGCTTCTTTGGAGACTTTAAAAAGTTTTCACACCCTTATAAATAGTGTTTTGTTCCCCTCCCCAACCAATGTGGGATTCTCATAGTCCACTCGCCTTCGGGGCACAGCGTCCTCGCTATTCTCACAAGATATCTGATACCCAATAAGTTCCTTATACAATGGGAGTTACACTTAAATTTTTTTTCAACCTAATCCAAAATTATTGATCACAATTATACAGTGATCTGCTCGAATAATTTATCTATATAGAGAAGGTGAGGACCAATAATGGAAAAGGGAATTAGAGAGTGAGGGGAAAAGTTAACCTGGCATTTAAATTCTTCAAATCTAATACAAAATTATCGATCATAATTATACAACCATCTAGATACAAAATTATATACCACAATTATAGAGCGATCTTTACACAAAAGAGAGTATATTTATTGAAAAAACAATTCTCACTACACTAACAATGGAACACCCGAGTAAAAGAGTGGTACATAAATGCACTGAGATCACATCCAAATGAGAGCGATCTAGAGGATAGAATAACTAAGAAAGTTACCTTTTTTTTCCGTGGCTCAATTATAAGAACTTCGTAGTTAAGCATATTTTACTTGAAACAATTCTATATTGAGTGACATTTGACAGTATTCTTACGATGCATGTGAGTGAGAACAAAACATACTGAAAAGACATGTTGATATGTGAGGATAGTCTTCAATCTTGAAAGCGATAAGTAGGTGACGTGACTAGGAGATTCTTCTCGTCCCCTTTGGTGTCCATGTGGGAGAATTGCTATTAATAGTTGCATCTGATTTGGTTGATAGCTGCACTCATGGCAATGATCTGCTATCATGGACATTTTTGGCTTAATATCCACGGGGCCTATCGACAGCCTCCACCACCCCACAACCTAAAGACAATGAAATTAATCATAAAACATTGTCATTGACTTACATGTTTAATAAAAGGTCTTTAAAACAAATCAACGGAAAAAATAAAATAGACACGTAAAATTTTTTAGAAATACCCTATACTAACATATAGTCCACGAAAATTAAATACAACTATCACATGCATGTGTCATCGTCTTTAAAGTTGCGATGACATCGCCCGCTGTGCAAGGGAGCCTTGCCTTTACTTGAAAAATAAAAGTAGCACCTGACTTGAGTATTTTAAAAAATACTCCGTACTATTGGGGTTAGATGCAAGCACATACAATTATGAATTAGACATATCATTTAAATCTGTAGTCTCTTATGTAACTATCCTAAGCGGGTCATTCCATGTGTATTTACTATTCTACACACAATCCATACATGTGAATATGGACTCACCAGTCGGTTCGCACACCTCCTAAGCCCCTTTCCTGATCGAGCTAACATTTTTTGTGTTCTTGCCAGACACTAGGTAGGAATAGTGATCGTCATACTATTATGATAAACATAATAATCATTTTTCTTTTCATAATGTAAGCATCTGTACTCATCATAAATTGAAAATTTTTGTGAGGCATGAGGTCCTAACCTCTTTTATTTATCGAATCATGTAAAAACAATCCCTCACATTTTCCTTCATATCATATTATTTTTATAGCATAGTCATTAAAATATATATTGGGGTTGCATACCGTATCAAATCATATTTACAGTCTGTCATTCATATCATACATCGTATCATGTCATATCATGCACATAACATGTCCTCCAACATACCATACCATATCATGCACATATCATATCATAAACCATATCACAATATGCATCATATCATCAAACATATCATATCATAACATATGTCATATCATCCGCTTATCATACCATAATATGTATCATATCACAAACATATCATTTCATAAACATTTCACACATATAAAACGTTACAAAACTACGGGGCACGTATCATCATACACGACACAAACTTCTAGCCATACCGATAGTAAGGCCACTTGCTTAGTTGGCCTTAGCCGACATTCTTTCTAAAATAATTGCTTGAGTTCGTCCTTCAAAGCTTATTCTAGGAGTCGCTAAGGTGTTTCTTATTAGAACATTCACTCAATTTCCTTAATAATTTTAGTTTCCTAATCTAATTTAACTTGAATTGAGAAATTGAGCATCATATTAACCTTTATCGCCTTAGATAAGGTCGAATTCAACTTCGAGAGGGTAAAAATGTGAAAATCAGTACAAATTTCCTAAATCCGAGTCAAATGACTCTGTAATAGCCCAAAAAAATAATCATAAATAATGAAATAAATAAACAAATAAAAATAATTATAAAAAAATAGTTAAAAAATAATAATAATAAATAAATAAATAAATATACAAAAAAAAAAAAAAAAAAAAAAAAAAAAAAAAAAAAAAAAAAAAAAAAAAAAAAAAAAAAAACTTTCCTCACTCCTCTCCACTAACCTCTCATCTCTTCCCACAATTATCCCTCCCCTCTCATCCCATCCCACCTCTCCTCAATCCCTCTTAAGCTGGAAAGTAACCGTTACTAATTGCTGAAAAAGAAATAGAAAAACAACAATTGTTAGATTTACGAGAAAAAAAAATGAGAATGACCCAATTGAGATTCACTAGATTTACTTGAATATAGATCTGATCAATAAGGTATATATTAACTCAATTGTCAGATCAATAAGGAAAGATTTGGAAATAGGGATCTACCAGAAATTTGGAATATATGAAAATAAAATTAAAAGCCAACGATTAAATACAAAGAAAAGGAAGATTCAGGAATTAAAAAAAAGAAATACAGATAAAAAAAAGATTTTGGAATTAAAAACCACTTAAATGGAGCGACTAGTAAATGGCAAAATAACCCAAATAACTCTATCTACTTTTTTTTTTTATCCAATAGTAACAATAGAAAAATAAAATTTTTAATAAAACTATAATTATAGATATATTTGAAGACTTTTAATAATGAACTAATGTAAATTAGAGAAACAATTTTATAGGGTTCAAACTTGAAACTATGTTATGGGCTCACATAGGTCAACTTGGATTTCAAAGGACAGAATCGAACTTTCATTAAGGATATATTCGTGACAACAACTTAAGCTAACCAGGTAAGTGGGGGTTATATTTGATGTTGACACGTGACTATGTTTCTTGTTGGGATATGGAGATATGGAGACTGATGCCTAGATCTGGTACAAATATATTTGGAAAATATTTAGTAAAAATATGATAGAGATATATATGGTATTAAAAATTTGAGAGAGATATATGTGTTAGATTATATCGTAAATTTAAATCTTTGGAAGCTATATTTAGTAAATTGAAACCATATATATATCCGATTAGACAGTGCTCGCACGCACTTCTCTCCATTCTCTATATTCTCTCTCGTTGTCCATACCTAGTAAATTGAAACCATATATATATCCCATTAGACAGTGCTCTCACGCACTTCTCTCCATTCTTTGTATTCTCTCTCGTTGTCCATACCTGAAGTCATCAATAATAAAACCTTTAGCCAATATTCCTTCCTTGTATTTTCTCTCTCTTGTTCTTTGTGTTCATCTTGATCGACTGTGTGTGTTGTTGAGTGATCCTAACAATTGGTATCAGAGCTAACAACTAGTATCGATCCTAACAAATGGTATCAGAGTGAGGCGAAAGTCACCACGATTTGTGAAGATGGAAAGTTCAAAGATTGGAATTGAGAAGTTCGATGGATCCGATTTTGGTTTCTGGAAGATGCAGATTGAAGATTATCTGTACCAAAAAGGTCTTCACGAACCCCTGTTGGGGATGAAGCTGGATACCATGACCACGGAACAGTGGAAGCTCAAGGATCGACAAGCCTTAAGGATGATCCGGTTGACGCTATCCAAAAACATGGCGTTCAACATCATCAAGGAGAAGACATTGAAGGTGCTGTCAAATATGTACGAAAAAACGTCGGCTATGAACAAGGTGTATTTGATGCGGAGATTGTTCAATCTACAAATGTCTAAAGATGGATCTGTTGTGGACCATATAAATGAATTCAATATGGTCGTAAGACAACTGAGTTCGGTGGAAATTAATTTCGATGATGAAATTAAAGCATTGATTTTGATGTCATCTTTACCCGAGTCGTGGGATACTGTTGTTGCCGCAATCAGCAGTTCCGAGGATTTGATAAACTAAAGTTTAATGAAATTCGAGATGTAGTTCTCAACGAAAGTATTCACAAACGAGAAATTGGAAATTCATCTGGTAATGCTCTCAGTGTTGACCAACAGGGAAGAAGTAAATCAAAGGGCCCAAACAATGGGCGATCAAAATTAAGGAACCGAGAAAAATCTCCAAACAAACCAAATGTAAAGTGTTGGAGTTGTGGAGAAAAAGATCACTTTCGGGCAGATTGTACAAAGAGGAAGCAGAATCACAAATCAGAGAATGACGATGATTCGATTCATTCAGCAGAAGACATTGGGGATACTCTAATCCTCAGCGTGGACAATCAGATTGAATCCTGAATTTTAGATTCGGGTGCATCTTTTCATTCTTCTCCAAATAAAGAGTTGTTTCGAAATTTCAAGTTTGGAAGTTTAGAGAAGGTGTATCTTGTCAACAACTAAGATTTGAAGATCGAAGGAAAAGGGGATGTCTGCATAAAAACTCCGGCAGGAAATCAGTGGACATTAAAGAATGTCAGATATATTCCTAGTCTCAAGTAACCTGATCTCTATTGGTCAGTTTGATAGCACAGGTTATGCAACAAAGTTTGGTAAGAGTTCGTGGAAGATTCTGAAGGGTGCTATGGTGATAGCACGTAACACAAAATCTGAAACTTTATACACCACTGCAA